GTTCTACGCGTGTCATTTCCCACATTCTAACAGTGCGTTTCCATCGAGAATTTCACACAACGCGCGAAATTTGAGATGTAGGATACAGGGCGTGAAATATATGTAAAATATCAAGAACATTTTCGAATTCGTTTCTCGTGTTTCGCAGAAGAGCAGGATGAAAATACATATCGTGTATCGGTTCGAAACAAGACACTCTCAATGGCTTCAAAATTAATTTTTCGTAGTGCATTTCGACAAACAGACGTTGCAAATTTGTTTCGCTTTATTATACAGAGTGGGCCAAAAATCACTTCCTACTAAAATAAATCCATAATTTTTTTTTATTACATATTTTTCTAATTTTCTCTCTTTTCTACAGATCAAAACACACCAATTTGAGTTTGAACTTCAGTTTAATTTAAAATTGACAAAATTGGTTCTTTCTCATATCTTGATGTTTTGTTAAAAAAAAATATAGGTGGGAAGGAACTTTTGGCCCATCTTGTATTCTCATATTTTTTCACGTCACATTCAGATCCAACAATAGAAACTTGATAATCTACAACCGCATAAAAATGGGAATCTGGAGGAACGACGAAAACGCAGGATCGCATAGAATTAAAACTGATCGGCCAGCACCGGTTAACGAAGTTCAGTCATTTAACCTGCAGATCGGTTAACCACGCGACGCAACTTTATTACGATCCCTGTCTCGCGGATCCCCACGAATGGAATATCAATTAGTGGAAAACGAACCGGCCGGATTATCCTGACTTACTTTAACCTGCCTGCGAGCCGTCATGCAGCACACGTAGCACCCCGCTGTCGAATAATAAATCTCTTCGCTATTGCTATAGCGGCCGAAGTTGATCCATCGAACGAGCATAAATTCTTAGAAAAAAACGTCTGCATGTAATGTCTCTAAGTACGTAACGTGGCAGCGTAAACCTCCTCGGCCGCCTGCAATTAGTGGCCTGTCTCGTTGAGTTACAATGCAATTTCTCACAACAATGAGTGTAATTCGAAGAATGAACAACGTAATTCGATGGATGAATTAAGCACTTAAAGGGTAACGGTTTGTATATAGCGTGTACATAGTTCGAAATGTACATGGTATACGTGTTGAAAGATATTTCAGACGTGTTTGATGGAGAAGCTTTGTGTGTAATTAAATGTATTGTGTATAATTGAATATACTTTGTGTGTGTGTGTGTGTGTTGGATATATATTTGTGAATACTGAAAAAGACAAATCTCATAAAATATTGTACTGTGATATTATAACGAATTTAAACAGATATTATAATATTATATACACAGATATTATAAATAATAACATGTAGATGAAATGAACATTATATTATAATTTTATAACAAATGATATACACTTACAATGCAGGCATGACTTTCACTTTGAGGTTATATGTAGTTTAATATTTATATTAATATTTTATATGTTGTTATAATACTTTTATAGTTGTAGTTAGAAGTCGTATATTATGTAAATTTTTGCACTTTCAATATTTAACGAAAGACTGAAGTCGACGCAAATGTTGTTTTTGATCTGAAGCCTTTGTTAAATACGAAGATATTAAATATAATTTAAATGTATATTTGACTCATTTGTTAAACAAAATCTGTCTTTTTTGCATAAAATAATATAAATATTTATACCTTCGAACTATATCTCATGTCACTAAATTTTGCTATTTTGCTAGAATTTTCATTGTTGCAGGAATTTAAAAATTTCACTCCTCAGACATCGCGTAACGAAACTCGACTTGCATCAGCCCTGCCCAGGCTATTTATATAAATTTCGAACGTGATCCGGTAATCGCGAATCTGTGTAATGCACGTTGCAGTGCGGGAAACCTTGTTCCCTTATTTCCAACGTTATCGCGCAACAATACCAAACACCGAAACAAACTTGCCAGCGTTGATGTTACAATTATCGCGTTCCGCTAACGATATTACAGATTTGCTAATTGAGGTTTCGTTGGCGAAACAACTGGCGTGCGTCGCTGGACAAGAGGCATCGTACAAAACGATTTCTAGCAACGCAACGACGATTTCTAATAGTGGATCGCGATAATGGCAGTTATAATGAGGTTCCCCTCGTGCGTCCATCATCGTCATGCTACGTGAGTAGTGTTTACCTAAATTGGCATTTTATATTTGGCACGCACGACGAGGATATCACGGTTCAGATTTGTCTCGGTAATAGTTGGCGAACTATTTCTGTTTCCTAGATATTTTTTTTATTCTAAATATTTTTATTTTCTACTTTATATATTGTTGATATACTAACATACTACTTATTTTATGAAACATAATTTTTATGTTACATTTATTCATTTTTTAAAACATAATTTTTCACGTTTCTCGTCATTGAGAAATTTGGCTTTCTAAATCATCTCGATATATAAT